TTACAGTCTATCTGCTGGAGATCCGTGGTTTCGTTTAGGAAACTCCTAGTCTTATGATACTACTCTGTGTTGACTGGGGCATGGAACTAAAAAAGATCCATGTTTGGGGCGAAAGAATGGACAGTGTCCTTAGGGGTCACCTGTCCTTATTATGACACTAAAGACGAACTCAGACACCGTCGTCCGACGATAATTCTTGAATAATGATCGTCCGGTAATAGCAGAAAACCCGACGCGTCATCCGAGACTGACGTCTCATATTGAAAAGACTTGTTGTCAAGGTGTTTAAGTCACGTGAACATTTATATAGACAACATGGGGAGAAAACGCAAATAATGCTTTTAAATTCTGGGCAGAAATGTTATGTACACATGCGAGTATGCATGGTTGTCTTTTTAACTATCATTATTATTATAAACATATTTATTTCGTTCACCTTGTATCATTTAAAGTTATATGACTCAGAGTCCACAATAGTTGGGCAACTACAATATTTACATCAATCAAAATTCATGGTTGCTGAATTTACTGAAAATTCAACATGAACCTGCCTTTTACGTGGTTTCAGTTTTCTCATTTTGACACATTTCCTAGGGTCTTTGTCTGAAAAACTACTTACAATGAAAAACTAGTTACAATAAAGAAACTTTGGCAATGAGTGCATATATTTACAGCACAATTTCACTATTTTCACTGAAGGAATGATTCAGTGAAAATTAAATCCAGCAAATATACTTTTTTTACTATATTTTACATTTAACTTTTCAAAAATCAGTGAAAATAAATTCCATACATAACTCCAAAAAAGTCGTTTCAGTGAAAATTAATTCCAGCTAAAATAAAAAGTATTTTACAGTATATGATTTTGAAAAAATATTTACTTGTGGCATGTGCAGTCAGTCAAGCCCCACACAATCCAATCCAATTTGAAAGTTGTTTTCAATATAGTATGTGCTCATAGAGATTTTTTTTCTATTCCTTGTTATTGTTGCTAAACTCTAATTTATAGATTAGCCTAATGGTAAACTCAGGTTTCTGCAAGTTTGATGAAAAGATGGTTTGATGAGGTATGTAGGCACGTATGCATTCCATTTATTCCATTCACTCAATCACAAAATTTAGATGATCAATGTGACACAAAACATAAGATTTCTAAAACTACTATTGATTGATGGATTGAAATATTAAACGAAATTAATTTTCTAAGACTGTCACTGATGCTCTCTGTCATTGGTTTGCCTTGTGCTTACGATGAAGCAATGTGATGTTGCATCTTTGTTGGAGAGTGTTGGGTGACGTTGTCTTGAGTTGGCCTTAAAC